GTGTGTGTGTGTGTGTGTGTGTGTGTGTGTGTGTGTGTATGTGTATGTGTATGCTGGTCTTGTTGTATTCGGGTCTTTTCTTAAAACAGGAAAAGACCCGAATACAACAAGACCAGCATATATATTTATATTTATATAAAAAATTGGAAAATATAGGTAGAAAATAATTCGGCTAAAATGGGAAACGGAAATAACGGAAATAAAATGTAATATGAAATTATTCATATATATATATATATATATAATAAATTTTATATATATATAAATTTTAAAGGAGGGAAACGGGATAACACTCTTGTTTACTAAAGAATTTTAAATATGTATCAAAAAAATTAAAACTTTTCTTAAAAAAAGAAATAAGCCCGATTCACGGCAAGGGAAGTGGGGGACCTGGAGAATGGTGGGCGCTGGGCAGCACTCCCAGATGTTCCTATTCCACAACGTGACGAGAACAAATCTTTTCGCCTTTTATTGGTTTAATTATTATTTCTTAAAAGCTCTTAAGAAGGTCCACTCCTGTAACCTCTCCCTCTCCTACACAGAGGTTACAGCTCAAGACAAATTCGGAAAAGGTCAGGAGAACCTGGTTGGGCGCCACTACGTTCCATCTTCCCAACCGGAAGGCCGCGCTCTAGGCAAAATGGCCGCCGGGGGAGGGCAAGGTATCCCCTCTGTGGTCCAGCTGGTCCTGCAAGCGGGCGAACTCGGCCAGCTCGTTCAGCTCCTGGAACTGCCGATCCGTCTTGTGAGTCACCAGCGAGCGATAGAAGTGGACCGCGAAGATGATGAAGACCACGCCGAAGGGGACCATGATGGTGGTGGAGGTGATGGCGGCCGCCTCGCCTGCGGTGATGGTGCCGTTGCTCGCCTGTGCATTGGCACCCGTCTTCTTCAGCGGGTGGAATTTGACCCAACAGAGAAGCACCACCTCAGCCAAGAAGAGCAGGGTCCCGATGACGGTGGAGAAGGCCCAGGCCAGCTCGATGTGGCGGTGCATGCGCTCGTGGGGCGACTCCTTGACCGAGTTGAGGTTGTGAACGTTGCTGACGGCCTCAATGTTGGGCAAGATGCAGGTGCTGATCATCAAGGCGAAGAGGTGGACGGCCACCAGGACGGTCGTGCAGGCGCTGAAGGCGATCAGGAGTCCCGGCGGATAGTCATGTTCCGCGTCTAGCTGGACTTCCACCATGGCCACCTGGAATGGAGCAGACAATGAAGCAAAGGTTCTCAAAAGATCTTCGGAGGCTGAACAACAAGGCCTTGTTGGAGGCAATAAGTGTATTAATATATATTTTATTGGTCTGTTGGTCTCCGAACGCGCTTCAAGGTGCTAGTCGTTACTTTAAAAACCCTACATGGTTTAGGACCTGGCTACCTGAGAGACCGCCTCCTGCCACAT